TAAAGAATACCTTCGAGTAAGTTGTTGCCTCGATTATGGGACCAAACCAAAAGGATGAAAGGATGTACTGTATCATGGGATTACTTGCCATCGATGAACCCCAAAAAGAAAGGGCGTCGGGGTCCTCCCCGGGAAAATTCTTATTCCTAGATGACGGGAAATGAGCTTTCATGACTTATAATTTTCCCATTGTAACAACAATTCAGCTCACGGTTTAATTTTCTTTTTTTAATGATTACATAATGCTAAAGATTGGGCCCAGGAAAGCACCCAGCTTAAAAATGATATATCGGACACAGAAGGCAGTACCATGACTCAAAAATAATGGCCAACTCATTAATTCCTAGTCCTATTTGAAATCACTGTAGGTCTATTGCAAAATGATAACTAGTTCAAAATTATATTTCTTATCAGAGCCATAACTAGATGAATTGAGTTGCTTATACCTCCATTAATAAAGTGCAAGGAACACGAATACATTATACAGTAATACAATGAATAACAGTGACTATATAATTATATTTACACAATGTGCAGGGCATTGTGAAATATTAATAGGCAATTAAATAAAACATGTTCTGAACAATACACACAATGCAATATGCTATGCATTATATTTTGAAATAGGCCTACAAATTCATTAATACCGTAGAGTAGGTACAACTTTAATTTACTTCCTTGCCAAATTTTGCCTCAAGCATTAATTGATCATGGTCTACATGAATTGAATATTATAAGGTCTCTAAAATATGTGCTCTATAAGTCAACCTTTATTATTATTACAAGGTTTTTTTCTTATTCCGTACCCTGATCAAGGCTCCAGTCATCCCCTTGGTTCGAACCGTCCCATCCTCAATTTTCTGGAGCCAACAAAACAATGCTGATAATCTGAACATGTTTTCAAAATGTTCCAGCAGGATCACAATCTATTTGAACCTCACTTTTATAACAGAATTTTAAAATAGGCTCTGTGGGAGCGTGTGTCTATGCCCTAGACTGACTTACTGTATTATGTTTACTAATAAACTATCCACATGGGATTCAGGAAATGAGTGGTGTTTTTTTTTATGACATTTGTACAGTATTTCAGTATTCAGTAATAAGGTACTTAAGATGACACATGACCCACCACGCACCTCCACGGGAACTTCACTCTCCGCCCTAACAACCATCTTTAACTGCCAGACGACAATGAGACGTCATACACAAAAATGATGTGACATAGAAGGTGGTATAAGGTAATCTAAACTTACAAGTTCAGACAGTAAAACTGTACACTGAATACATTATGTTAGTACAGTATTATGCAATGTGTCTGAACAACATTATGGTTCAATCTAATTGCCGATTATCCAAAGTAGATAGCATACATGGATTATATAGCACAAATAGATTACAGATTATCCAAAGCAGAATGAATCAATCAATATAACAACTATAATAGTCAGCAAGTATTGTTGTATTTGCTTTTTTACAAACAGATTAAGCATGAGTATTGTGTGTTTTATATTAGTAAATTGATTATACCTATATCAATTGTATTTTACTGTACTGGTTTGTGATGATGTTAGTTAGTCAGAAATCTTTCTTTGTCTGTGGGGATATTGTTCTTCCTGGGGGCCCAGATACAGTAACAAACATTTTAATTTCATACAAAATGAAATGAAAAATAAAATTATTTGAAGAATTAAGTACAAGCAGAATATTTATATACGATTTTTGAAAGATTTTAAAGTAATTGAATGTACTGCGAATATTTGATGGTAGGTTATTCCAAATCTTGACAGAACAATGTCTGCCATGGAAATCACTTACTTCATGAATTGTATGTTGATCTTCTTGTCCTCGTCAGGGCCGCCGGGCCGCGGACCCGGGGAATCTTCACTGCCCGGGCCCATTGGTTGGGGTCTGGGGGGCCGCTTAGGGCCCAGCGTGATCGAGGGGATGAACCCTGGTGGTTCCCCCCTCCGGAAGCTACGGCCTTTCAACGAATTAGAGGACTTATTTAATTGATCAAAGTGGAACATGAAAAGTAAAGGCTATCCTTCCTTTTATTCAAACGTGCGGAAAAGATTCATAACATGGGTATCAAAGTTTACAGTGGCGCATACATGAATTTGAAATAGAGAATTTGACCCAGAGGAGCACATTCACAGATGGACGGTCTATCTATCCAACCATGAGGTAAGAAAACTTATGATTGTGCACGTCTGGACGGCCGGAAATGGCACTCTTACACTTAATTTTTAGTAGAATTTTTTTTTCTTTTTAAATTTTTGTTACATTTAAAAAAAAGTGGGGGGGGGGTGTTAGGGTCTGATGCAATGTGCCGCGGGCCGGGCGTCTCCTTCAATCTGCCACTGGTTTAATTTATTAGCTCAGTTTTTCTTTGACAATCGAATCTCTATCAGGTCTATTCGTATTTTCTAACTTGAATGTATATTAACGATTAATAACGTAAAGAATTTACTATTTACACATTTTAAACATGAACGAAAAAGAATTAAAAGCGATTAATTATCAGTTTTTTTCGATGGTCAGCTTTATTTACTATTCCCGTGGGAAAAATACATGAATGATACTGGATGAAGTAATACGTTTAATAATTTTTATTTATTTATTTCATTTTATTGTTTTCTAACTGGTTGTAAAAAAAAACATTTTCCCCGGTTACCATGGCCTATCGGCGCCACTGTGTTCCTCGTTTCAACTTTGGTCAAATTACTGGCCAACATAACAGGTTAATGAATACTAAACAAATTATTGGTACCAACAATTTGTATTCCTCATATTAATATCCATATAAATAGAATGTTATGTCATGCATGCTTTCGTTCTTTTAAAATAAACTTTAATTGCTTTATTGGGCATGTAGGCCTAAGATATAACGATTTTTGTGACGACATCAGTTAGAACTTAGAATTAGAAATATGTGATTATCTGTAATTACTTTTCAATCAAGTAAACAAATATAATTCTCAGTTTATCTTATTACGTCTCGACGGAAGCGATGTCATAATTATGATATGATAAGTCCATAATAAAACAGTAAAACACTTTCAATTGTGACAGTGCCTACCTTCCAAACGACATTTGACGTCAAGTAGGGAAATTCCCTTTGTGTCTACTGGTCTGAAAATTAGATATGTGGACCCGTCCACTATTTGACCACCACCATCACACTATCGGTCCATGAGGAGATGCAAGAGATTGAAATTACTACGGGGACCGTGCGGCACCCATCGGGATGCACATACGCCCATTGACACAAAGTTGGTTTTTTTTTTTTCCGCTGATCTCGGAAAAATGTATTTGTATCTCCTGGTCTGAGTATTAGATGTGTGGACCCGTCTACTACTCTTGACTACAACCCTCAATACACTGTACACAATAAAGTAACACATAATCTGATAATATAGTGTGATTCTTTCGTGATTTATTACAAAAAGGCAAGGGGACAGTCGCACACGATCGGTACCTTAAAATGAACTTCCAGAGTCAAAATTCTTCTTAGATAGTGGCTAAAAAGCCAAGCGACAGGGTGCCGTAGCCCACTGACCCCAAAGCGTCACCACCCAACGCAGACAGCAAACCATGGAATAATGAATGCAGCATGAGGAAGGATGTAGGCCTCGACCGAATCACACCTACGTTTACTGCAACCATAAACTTCAGTTACTCAGCAGGCGTAATTGCCAAGTTTACCTTACATGCTTAAAACGTTAAGAAATAAACTAACCATGGCCAAATTATATATACGCGCCTGTGTATATTGAAATATATAAAATATAATATAGGCCTATATAGGACTTTATTATACAGTATTATTAAGACTTATTTCGGTTTTTTTATTAATTGTATGTTGATCTTATTGTCTTCGTTTGAACTTTGGTCACACTAACGGCCAACATAACAGGTTTATGAATGAAATATTAACCAAATTGTTGGTACCAAGAATTTGTATTCTTCTTATTAATATTCTTATAAATAGGATGTTATATCATGCATGCTTTCGTTCTTTTAAAATAAACTTCAATTTGCCTTATTAGGCATGACTGGTAAAGTTAAAACGGCTTTTGTGACGATCAACTTAGACTAAGAAATATATAATTATTCGTCAACACTTCTGAATCAAGTAAACAAATATAATTTTCAGTTTATCTTATCACGTCTCGACGGAAGCGTTGTCATACTTTTCAACGATAAGCCTACAACAGTAAAACGCTACGTTTTCTATTATGACAGTGCCGAACTTCAAAACGACCTTTGACGCCAAGTAGGGAAATTCCCTTTTTCTTACCAGGGTGTTTATAATCCTGTACAGTCCTTGAGATCAGCGAAATGCCGTTATTCGCTTATGTGTGGGTGTTATGTAACGTAGAAATAGCAACAAGTGTCTTGTCCTATTATTCTATCAGGAAATCATTTAAGATGCATGCTTTGTTAATGGAGTTAAATATAGATTAGGCCTATTATTATTTTAGCGCAGATTCAATCTATATATAAATATAAAGAGAGATTTACAGACGATTATAATAATACAAATGAAAAGTCGCCTATATTACGAAATGATGTTATTAATGATGATTTTGTTGCGATGGTGATGATGATAGGCCTAATAATGATGATGGTGATGATGACAATGATATTGATGATAATAATTTTATAGTGATGATTTTGACGATGATAAAGTAAATGCTCATGTCGATAGTGGATAATTGGTGATGATACTAATAATAAATGATAATATTATTACAAAAAATAAAAATTCAATGGCAGACAGCTAATAATTATTTATATTATAGTTTTCCAATATTTAATGAAATATACATACATAC